AGCAAAATTAAAACCAATACTGAATTCATATATCCCATTATGAACGATGCAACAGCAAAGGAGTTCATCAAGCAAGTTACTCCAAAATACAGAATTAAGTTCCCTCTTCCACCTAAAATTATGCAAGCAAACCCCACAGAGAAACCTAACCTCCCTTCTGACTCACAAATCACGGAGGACTACAATATTACTCTGCCAATTTCATCACCTAAACAACTCACAGAAACTGTCAAGCTTCTACACAAATACTACTACTTCACACAACTTCTCTCCAGCTAGATTCAAATAAACAACACCAACATCCCTAACCCAGAAAATACCAGTATCAAAATGACTTTACCGACTATCCCCAATGACATCGATGAGATAATCCAAACTCTATTCAAGCAGGAAGTCATAGTCTCACTTTCAATCCAAAAACAGCAGGATGTTACCCCAACAATAAAAATCCTCAGACAACACTTTAAGATCCAAACAATTCCAGATACCCTTCTACAACTCCCACCATTACCTACTCCCAAATGGACCATTTTTGATAATATTTATGCACAAACCCCACCTATGTCTCCTAGTACTGTCCAAAGCTTTGCACTTGCCCTGGAAACAGACTCAACTGACAACAACTCGCAATCAAAACAGAAAGCCACCCCATAGCAATAAGCACCCAACCTATAGTAGCTCCTACATCTACACCTGATCTAGTACATACACCTCCAGAGGACAACCCAACTCCAATGGATACAAACGAACACTCCAATGAGTAATCTACCACATCTATACCCTCTTACACTCTCAATTGGCACACACAATATACAAGGTTTCAACACAAATACAAAAAGAAAAACATGAGAACATTACTGCCTACAACACAATCTTGACATAATTGGCTTAACAGAAACTAAACTCTCCCAAGAAACAGTCCACAGAAAGTGATACAACACACAACACTATACTTATCTATGGTCATATACAGAAAGCTCTTGTGTCGGAATAGCTATAATGATCTGCAACCATTTAGCACCTCATATTCACAAAGTATTAACAGTGCCAGGCTATGCCATAGCAATTGACCTCCTGTTTAAAAACGATTTCAAGTTCCATATAATATCTTTTTACCTGCCAAGTAGTGATGCACAACTCAGACTACAAACACAAAATACCATTATCCAATGGCTCTAGCAGGCGACCACACAAAGCACTCTACCAATTACACTTGGAGACTTCAATGCCTCTACAGAGAACATACATTCACAGTCTACCAAACTTAAACTTCTTCAGTATCTGGC